GTAGGGAAAATGCGCCATCACATTAGCAGCACTAGTATATTGCTTTAAATGTCATTAAAAATACTGCCATGGACCATATAATTTTTTTATTTGGAGTTGGTCTCTGCCGCTGGCTTGCTGCATAACGTTGCAAACATAGTTTAATGCCATATGGATGGTGATGAAGAATTTCAAAGCACATCTTCACTCAGAGGAACTGATATGGATTGGAAAGGGTTACGTGTCCCAAGAAAGTGTTCTTAGCTTTCCTGGAGCAGACCTCCTTCTCTGTGACACACTCAACTAGAATCCCAGAAGCTGTAAGCAGCAATAATTTTTTACAGCAGAATAGTGCTGTAAGTAGCTATTTCTCCAGCTGTAAAAACTATCAGGGTAGAAGAAAATGCAACACTAAGCAGAAGCATGGCTAAGGTTTGTGGCTTTCATCTGATTAAAAATAGGACAGGGTTCAACACTGTTTTCGTTTGTACTCAGTGATTGCTATTCCAGTACCATATAAGCTAAGATTAGTCATGGTACACTGTGAAAATTAATTAGGTTTTCCTCTGATCTGTTTTTCTTTTATAGAATACCTGCTTAGTTTTCAGAGAATGTAGCTTTTTAATTTATAGATTGCCTTAGAGATAGCGGTAAAAGGAGTCATTGGAACAAATACGGTTTTCTTACTAACTGATACTCTGCTTTCTGGTTCACCAGCAGCAAAGATTGTGTTGAGTTCTCCTTGATGTATGATCTGTCTGGTAGGAAGTTCTGCCTCTTCAGGTTGGAGTAACACTGAAGAGTATTTACCAGCCTGGAGCCACCATTGCTCACTTATATTTCTGATTCTTATAGCAAACAGACACAACTCTTAATTTAGCAGGGCCCACAAACTTTTTCACCTAGAGCACATGAAATTCAGTCGTGTAAATACGGGATGGACAGGTTGCTTGACCAGTTGTGTAGTTCTTATATTTATATTTTCTAGTGAGTCTTGTTTCAGACAGCTTGAGAGGACAGGATTTCTTCTCACTTAAGGTCAGAAATAGTGAGCTGTCCAAGTCAGTCGTTCAGCTTTTGGCCAAGTACTGGAATTGGAAGTGTCTCAACTAAAAAGGCTGTAGCTGAAACAGAAGAAAAATGAGAAAGCTCATGAAAGGTGCAGTATCCGTTGTGCTTAGCTGGATTAGAGACAGTTTGTATTAATCCAGTGAATGATTTTAATCCTGATTTGCAGAAATGTTAGTAATTTAACATACTCTGTACATAGGTCAACAGTAAATGGATTTGTAGTAAGCTTGGGCCTGAAAGCTGTCAGTGGCTGTATCTTTCCTAAACCACACTTCAAATCTAGCTTTTAGTATAGTATGTTACCAGTTTCTATGCTGAAGACAGATGAGAAAAGTGGAGTATATTGCTGAATACTCCTTAACAAACTGTGGTGTAAGTCTGTATGCACTTGTGTTTGCATTAAGTGGTTAACTGGAAACATTCATGCTTCATGTAGAGACTTGTCAAATACATAACTTCTGAATAATTTCACCATCCTATCTGCACAGAATATTGCTCCCTTGGGAAATGAATTTATACAGTGAGTGTCACTGAGAAACCTTTATTTCAGAGGCCCAACTAATTCTGGGAGCACTGTCAGGCATTGGGCTCCTGGATCCATGCTGTAATGACCAAGTTGTTGGGAGTGGTGACCAGCTGGGAGGAATCATATGGTTACTTAGCAAAATTCATCAATTTTTATGCTGGTCCTTCAGCCTTAGTTAAAACCCCCTCACCCTTCTGCATGTATTGGTGCTAAAGCAAGGCAAACCTGGAGGACGTTTCTGCAAAGTAAAAGTTGCAGCACTAGGCACATCCTGTAGCTGTTCACATAAGCACTTTGGGTATCTGCACTTTATCTGGATTTTTCTTTGTGAAATAAAGTTCAAAATTTGGCCTATCAAATTCAGAAAAATTACTTATGGGTATTGGCGTAGAAGGATATGGACCTCTTTTGGAATCTGGTGGCTGTAACATGCATTGTGAATTGTGCTTTTACTCATATCTTTTGGTGATTCAGGATTGTTCAAAGCAGTTTTCACAGATGTGGAAGTCATTTTAATTGAAGGTAACTTCAGGAAGTGGAGACTCTTGCTGTTCTCAGGGACTGGCTATTGTTGTGCTTGTAAGCTGCACACAAGCTTGTTTACAGGTTTTAAGGTACTGACAGATCTTACAGGTCAAGGAAAACATTGGTAAATACAGATTCTTGTGATAACTGAAGTTCTAGGCATGATGTATTGCTAGATCTTTGGGGTTTTTTCCACTGTTTCTAGAATGTAGTCAGATTTTAACTATGGCTTTAACACTGATCTGAACAAAATGATCAAATTCAAATGAGGGTTGGGCATCTTTTACATACTGTGCGAGCTGAGCGTTGTGCTGTCTTCCTTGTCTTGCCCTGGGCTTTTTCCCACAATACTACAAGAGTTGAACCAGTGCAAACATAGCTGCAGGTGTCTAAAACTGGTTTCTGACATGAAGATGAGATTTTATTCATGCAAATGCTTGCCTAGTGGGCACATACTTCAGCAACAGTGCAGCTTTGTAGTGATGGTCCCTTCTGTAGGCAGGTTTGTGTTTCCCAGCACAATGCCAACAAAGTCGGCAAACTTATTGGAGGGATTCTAATTATGGTTGTCTGAAACTTAGGATTTTACCTTACATTTTATGGAGACCCAACTCAAACCTTTTCCTGGTCCATGACCTGGGTGGTTAAAGAAGGTCACTGGTTAAAAATATGATACGCATTAGCAACTTGTGTTATGTGGGCAATGCTGTGCTGGTAGCTAAGGGAAGTGGAATTACTATGTCAAAGTCCAGAAGGGGCTATCAGACCTAGGGGAAGTCCCATTCACAGACCTAATTTGTAACAAGTCTATGCATATAGAGTTGTTCTGACCTTGTGTGGCAATTCCCAAAAGGGAGTAGTTGCATGCCAAAGCTGAATGAAAAATTCAGCTTATTTTGTATTTTAAAATACAAAAGTGATAGGAACTTCCTCTCAACCAGATGTTATTAATTACTCTTACTGTATGGTTCCAAGCAGAATGATTTGGCTGTTAGGTGAATAGCACTGTAGGCAAGTATTACTCTGTGCATGTGACATATTTTAGCAATGTATTAAATATGCTCAGTGGCCACAGCATATTTTCCAAAAGCACAGTGGAATAAAATATATTGGACCAGATGATGAAGTGCAGAACAAAAGAATCTTTATAATAAAGGCAGTGTAAGTTGCAAAGTATTACTGTTTAGTCTTCATACTGTAATTTCTCCTAATAGTGAGTAAAATTTTTATTTGTCACAGCCTTTGTTTTAAATTTTCTGCAGTGGAAGTTAAGTGCTGGTATTTATAAGATGTTCAGTGCTGCTAAAAGGCTTTGCAGGTGGCACTTACCACTGTTTTCCTCCATAAAGTAGTCTGGAAGATGGTTTCCTTGACTTAACAAGTCTCATTTTGTGCAAAGTGACAAAAATTCCCCTATTCTTTTCTTTCCTATATATTTATCTTGCCTTTCTGCTGTTGCCACACAAAACCTCAGAATTGTCTCCCAGCCAGTCTGTTTTCAAATGAAGCAACTGTTGAAATGTGATCCTTATGTAGTGAAGCTGAATCACAATTCTTGCAACACATGCATCTAATGATAGGCACAGACTGCTTTCTATGGACAGAGAGGAGTAAAGATGAAAAATGGGTGCAATAGGCTTTATTCTACAATCTGTGCTCCATTTAAGTACTCCTGCTGAGCACAGTAAAACTTCTTGCTTAATTGAAGGTCCTGTCCATGTACAGGTTCCTTCAAAGCTTCAACAGTGTCCCAGGCTAAAACAAATACACAGAATAGCACATGACTTACTGGACAAAGGCTGCTGCAGTCTGTGGACATGAGGAAAAACAAACTTGAGAGAAAATAGAGTAATGCATCAATACGATTTTCGGTTAATATTGGGTCGTAAAATACATCCTTGTTTGCAGCAACCCTGTTGACCTCAGGTAGCATACGAGTTGCAGGTAGGTCAAACTGATTATGTGCAGCAAGCTTTGGTATCTGAACTGTTTCATTACAGTAGTCATCAGAAATGTGTGGTGTAAGCTATCCAGAACTTCTAACCACTGTTTCTGCTACCTGATTTATTTTCCTTGGCAAAATGT